TACTCCGTCAGTGATGTAACTGGCCCTCACCTAAACCATGAACCCTTGTGTTCCAGTGACATGTGTGGCTATTTGACTGTCAGATATGAATGGTATCTTGAAAAGGCCTTGAGGCTCTGAATCCTGAATGTTCTAGGGTGGCAGAACTGGGGAAGGAGGTTATACACCTCAGGCCCACAGATGGGTCCTAAACTGAAAAATTCAGTCTTGAGCATCACTGATGTTTGTGTGAACAGATGTAATTTTGCTGACACACTTCTACTTTCACTCAGGTGATTGGAGAAAATGTTCACATCTACCTGATTGGAAAGGAGTCATCACGTACACATTCCCTCGCTGTCTCTCTGCACTGTGCTGATGATGACTCCATCAGTGTGAGTGGCCAGAACAGCCTGTGTCACCAGATCACCGCGGCCTGCAAGCACGGTAGTGACCTGTATGTCGTTGGTGGCTCCATTCCACGGCGCATGTGGAAATGCAACAATGCAACTATAGATTGGGAATGGTGTGCTCCTCTGCCCCGTGACCGGCTCCAGCACACCCTCGTCTCTGTGCCAAGCAAGGATGCAATATATTCACTGGGGGGGAAAACTCTACAGGACACTCTCTCTAATGCTGTCATATATTACAGAGTACGAGACAACGTCTGGACAGAGACCAGCCAGTTGGAAGTGGCAGTCTCTGGAGCTGCAGGGGTGAACCTTAATGGTGTCATTTACCTGTTGGGTGGGGAGGAAAATGACTTAGACTTCTTCACCAAGCCCTCTCGGCTCATTCAGTGCTATGATACCAACACAGAGAAATGCCACGTGAAGCCATACGTACTGCCTTTTGCAGGGTGCATGCACGCTGCTGTGCACAAGGATGTGGTGTTTATTGTGGCCGAGGGGGATTCCCTGCTCTGCTACAATCCCCTGCTGGATAGCTTCACCCGGCTGTGCCTCCCAGATGCCTGGAGCTCAGTACCATCCCTCTGGAAAATTGCCAGCTGCAATGGCAGCATCTATGTCTTTCGTGACCGCTATAAAAAGGGCGATGCAAATACTTTTAAACTTAACCCAGCCACCTCTGTTGTAACAGTCACAAGTGGCGTCAAAGTGCTGCTCACTAACCTGCAGTTTGTCCTGGCCTAAACAGGCCTAGTGATAGACAGCAACAGTGTCTTGCTGTGCTACACCTACGACCCTCAGCACCAGTCCCTACTACAAGCTCACAACATCCAGTAAAGACCCCATTCTCTGTACCTGTGCAGAGGAAGTACAGGCTTTCTGACTCTGGACCTATTCTTTTACATAGCACTATTGAAACCACTATTGAACTGTTGTATCTTAGATTTCAGATGGACTAAATACTACTACTTTGATTCCTTGATGATAAGCTGCTTGCATTTGAGGCCCAAACAGCAGCAAATGGCTATTTTGGCCTGGAACCAATCCACCACTAAAAAATCCTGTGGCATATGAAGAACATACTCCTTGGCCCAGACTGCTATAGTTTTAACTGCCTAGGAGACTGCGTGTTGCTGCTGTGTCAGTCACAGAGTTAGACGTGCACTGTGTCCCCCAGGGATGCCCCATTTAAACATTCCTGTGTCCTATTGCAGAAGGAGGGCCTGGCAGTCAGATTCCAGAACTGATCCCAGGACCCTTAGGTTACATTCAGCACTTCTAGGGGAGTGGTAACCAACTGAGTACTTGCTTACTGCTCTGTCATCACCTAGTATAAAGAGGGAGATCATTTTTAGAGCATTGACTTCCTTTACTGTACAGGAAATCCCCACCTGTAATTATAACATAGTGTTGGTGAAAAGACAGAAATAAGATCACTTCCTCCTACCCCTCTCTGTTGGCACTGTAACCCTTTGGGTAAGAATCTAAATAAAGTCTCTACTGAGACAAAATATTTTGTTTTTTTCTCTTTGCTTCAAATACAAATATTTTTGAACTTCCTGTGGATTGCAGTTCTGCTCAGCATTGATGTGTAGAAAAGTACTATAGGGGTCCAAAAGATCTAGGATATTAGCCATAAGAAAAGAAAGCTTTAATGAAACAGCCCTATTTCCCCCTTACAGTAAAACATTCTTTATTGATAGTCAAGAATTAAAACCCTTAAGCTTTTGATAATCATAAAAACTTTTTTTATAGCAGCTGAAATGAGGATTTTGATTCTGATTTTGATTAGTTCTTACTAAGTTATGCAGTTCTCCCAGTGATCATGTTCCTGTGAAATTTCTCCAGGACCTGCACTTGCTTGTGTCGAATGAGGATGTGAGGACGAATTTTGGCAATGGCCTCTATTGCTTCCTGAGGGCTCCAGTGATGCAGCTGAAATGGCAGAAACCCAGCAAGTGAAAATCCAGTTGATGGAACCATCCTGGAGGCTATGGGCAATATTAGAGGTGTTAGAAAGCTTGCTGCTGCTTTGCCCCCTACGTTTACTCAGTGTTCCTCTCAGAGAGGCCTGCAAGTCACACATTCATTAAATGAGTTGCTCAGTTATAGAGGAATGGTTGCTGCCTATGTCCTCCACTTTCTGCCTCACTCAGCCTTCCTTCTTGTTGTGAACAGTTTCCTGTTCTAGCCCCACTAGACCAGAGCAAAAATGCAGCTTGATTTTTTTTTTTTTTTTTTTTAACTCTACTGGTACTCCCACTGCATTTGAGCACTTAGTGAGAAACTTTTCTTTTCAACAGTAATGGAAGATTTTCCAGGGAGCACTTGGTAACACCAAGGGAAGAATCCACAGGTGGGATTTTGTTCTTAGTGCTGGCTTCCCCAGTGGGGTTGGTAGAGGAACTCAGAAAACAAGTCAGTTCTCTTGATCCTGAATTGCATTTATGGAAAAGTGTAGGAAGGCTCACCACTCCAGTGAACCAAGGAGAAAATACGAACAACAAAAACGTATGTTTATCTGCTAAGTGAACGTATGTTCCTGAGTGACTTGTTATTCTCACCTCAATCTGTTCCTCCACAAAAAGAAATAAGAAAAGCGGAATAATTCAAAATTTGCATTCAAAACAAGGTAAGTTTGAGGCCTCTCTTAAAATGGGTGTCCAAGCTCTGTAAAATCATGAAATATTAACCTGTACATGCTCAGACACCCTGAGCAAGAGTAAACTATAAAGGTTGTCTGCATTTTATTTCCATTTTTTAATGAAAATTCACCCCATTTAGCAGAGACTTCTGACCTGAATTAAGTATGCTGCCACCATGGTGGCACTGCGGGAGCGTCCTGCCTTGCAGTGCACATAGACGCTGTTACCATGGGCTCGGTGTCTCAGGATGAACTCCACGCCCTTGTGCAGGTTTTCCAAGGTGGGGACTCCCGTTAGATCTACAGTGCTAAGACGCAGTTGCTCCACTCCCATTGCCTCCCATTCCTGTAACAGACATAGCAGATTTGGTCAGTGAACTTTTGGGCTGTTTTTTTACTGAAAGAAACTCAGAACCTGTTGAGACGGTTGGGAAATTCAGAGAGGCTGTAAACAGACTTTGAACATCAATCCTTCAAATCAGATGTATGGAAATTTCAGTCCTGGTCATCAGAAGGTAGTAGTTAAAGTAGAAAAAATGTGTTTTCAGCTGAAGAGAAAGAGGGAGGTTGGAATCTCTTTCCAACCCTAAAGGCACTCCTGTATAGTGATGTACGTGGGCTGCATGCTTCCTGTATTTCCCTGCTACTGCAGCTGCAGTTCACTCGCATGCTCACGTTTTACCGGTTTGACGCACAGTTTTTTAAGTCTGCTTAGGTACGAGTAGTCCCAGCTTTGCTATCACAGGACTTGGCGGTCGCTGCCGGGATGACGGCAGGAGGCGGCTAAAGCCTCACCTGTGCCGGGACAGACGGCGATGAGAGACCGGGCGGGAGGGCTGGTCGGAGGTGGGGAGGGACACACCAGCAATCCCGGGGCTCACCTGGGGAGAAAAACAGAGGAACCGGGTCTCGTAGTCCTCAGTGAGGGTGACCACGCCGCGCACGTTCTCCTCCGCCACCAGCTGCGGGCACAGGCACCGTAAGGGACCGCGGCTCCTCTCGGCCCGGCCCGCCCCGCCGCGCCCGCCTTACCCTGCGGATGCGCCCCCGCAGCGGCAGCGCCCCGAGCAGCACGACCTCGTCGATGCGGTGGAACCAGGGCCGGTGGGACCCGGGCAGCCGCGCCCGCGCCACCGTGTACAGCAGCGAGGGGTAGAAAAGAAGCCGCGCCGCGCCGGCGCCCAGCGCCTCCACCACCCCCATGCGCGCTGAGGCCGCGCCGCACCGCGCCGGGCCGGACCGACGGGCGGGGGAGCGCCGCGGACGCGCGCACCGAGCGTCACCAGCGGGGACGCCCGCGGCGGGGCCGGGCCGCGGGCGGGAGGCGCCCGGCAGGGCCGGAGCGGGGCGGGGCCGGGAGAGGCGCGGCGGGGCCGGCAGAGCGCGGGGGGCGGGCGCTCCGCCCCGGCCCCCCCACGCCGCGCCCGCCGTGGTCTCTCCCGGAAGCGCCGCCATCTTGCAGAGCCGGCCCGAGGCGGCGCAGGCAGCGGAGCGGGGCGCGGGCGGATCCCGGGGCAGGTGAGGGCGGCGCCGCCGGGAGGAGCTCGGGCCGCGCACGGCACGGCAGGGACAGCACGGCACGGCGGGGACGGCGCGGGGCCGAGCCGAGCCGGCGGGAAGCGCGATCCGCCTCGCGCAGGTAACGGCTCCTTGCCCCTTCTGCCCCGTTCCCCGGCGCTCCCGCCGCGAGGCCGCTCGGGCCGGGCCGGGCCGGGGCGGCCGCCCCGCTCCGGCCCGCGGGGGAGCCGCCGCCGCCCCGTGCGCGCCATCCCGGGGCGGTGCCGCCCCGCCGGGAGCCCCTCCGGGGCCCGGAGCGGGAGGCTGCCGGGTGTCGTATCTGATCCGAGCGCTGACAGCGCCGCGGGCGGTGGCGCTGCGGGTGCGAGCTCGGCCCGCGGCGGCGGCGCCATTGGGGGCGGGGGGGCTGCGGCGAGGCCGGGCGGACCCCCAGGCGGGGGAGCGGCCGCCCCGGGCTCGGCCGCCGTCCGCCTGCCGGGCTGCGCGCCCCAGGCAGCTGCAGGAACCTGGGGTGCGGTTGCTATTGTCGTCGGTATGGCGCGGGTCTGTCCGCTGGAGCGGTGAAATGTGTGCTGGTGCACCAGGGGTGGAGGCGAGTCCGGCATACGAGAAGCACGATCAGGGAAATTCGAGTTCAGTGCAGTGTGAGGATTTGCAGTCCTCGAGTATGAGAAGGCGTGACAGACACTACTGGAATGAAGCAGGAAGAGGAATATAAAAAACAGGAGAGACGAAGCGTAAAATTGGTGATAAATACGTGAAGAAGCAGTAAAGGTTGATAACAGCATGCTTTATTAATAGGACTGTTACGAGAAGGAAGTTGAGAGGCAACTTTAGAAAACACTCCTTTAAATTCCTGAGGAATTGTGGCCCAGACATTTTCACCTTTAAGGCACAGGCATTCTCTTCTCCCAGAAGTTGTCGGGGAACATTTTTCAAGCATTGCAGCTTTCTTGTATGTCCTGCTTGAGTGTGATCATTGGGTGTGTTTCACCAGTTCACCGGATTTAGAAAAGTATTTGGCTTCGAATCCTAGCTTACAAGAGCTTGTGTTTTCTGAATGTCTTGAATTTGTGTTTTTATTTTTTGTGTATGTCTGTCCTTTTAATCTTATTCTTTGTACCAGTGATCACAAAAATTGCTGAACTCTCTCCTACTGTCTTTCATTATCTCCTCTATTGTTTTTCTCTAGGTTAGTTCATCAAATAGATTTTACTGCACTGACTTGGCATTGCACAGCCATAATAAACCCATCACATTTTTATTCTTTTTTCCATTCCCCTCGGCTATGTTCTTGGGATCTCTGCATAATGTGAAATACTGTATCTTCCTAGAATTGTGCCTGGACCTAAGTCTTAAAGAAGCAGCATTGTTGGAAATACAGCTGCTGTTGGGTAGATGTTTAAAATTAATCCATACGTCTTTAGATTGAGCCAGGAAATGTTAAGAGTGGGTACAGCTTGCATCTAGCAGCTTAATATGTTCAGCTGCATTCCTGCTGATGAAGAGCCCTCAGGACAGGAGCACAAATCTTATACCTGCTCAGAGATATGGCTGCAAATGTATATACTATAAAATTCTTAAATAGGAATTTTTAAATACGGTGATGTAAAGAATTATTTTTTTCTTTAGATGATTACTGTTCTCTTTCAGCCTCTGCTCACATTCAGAATTATTGCTGATACTTATTTTGGGAAGATGTACACTGTTCTAAGGAGTGTATTCACCATTTTTGAATTATCATTCTTGCATATCTGTCTTTATTCTGTCTTTATTGCATAAAGGTTTTCCTTTCCCTAAGTTTCTAATGCTACGTTGGGGAAAATCAATGTCCGATCCTAACTGCTGTGTTACGTTTCCTCTTTTTGTATCTGTTTGGATTTTTTTTTTTTTTTAATAGGTAACAATATAATTGATGCAAGCCTAGGACGTTCTGTTTACATGCAAAAGAAAGCAGTAGCACAGCATCTGCAGAAAAGCAGACTATTGAAAAGTGACTATTCTGAAGTCATGAACACTAAAACATGAAGATTTTGTGTTAGGTAGTTTTGTTTTGAAAGTGAATTACCTACAAAGCAAGAAGAATGTATCTATTTTTCACTATGGGACATAGGGTAACGAAGCCCATAGTTCTGCTACTGTGTCCTTCTTACTGTATCCGTGTTTCTGCTTGGCCTCCAAAACTTGATGCACTTGTAGGATTATCTTTGCATGGCAGGGGGAAGGTTCTTTTAGTTCTTCTGCTACAAGTAGGGGTTCTGCAAGCATGCTCCCTGGCACCACTCGTCTAAAGGGGAAAGCAGGAAATGTGGCAGGATCATTGAGATACAATAGTTGTCTATCTCATGAATAATAAATCCATGCCTTGCCAAGTAACCTGTACATCAGCTGAAGAATCATTGGTTGAAACAAAATATGATGCTTTGAAATAAGGGAAATATTTATAATGTGTAAATTTTCTTCTAAAATCACTAACAGTATCCTGTATTGGTTGAATTTCATAAAAGGTGGATGCTTATGTGATTCTTAAATATTTAGATTCACTTTGAATTAAGTAAGACTCTACCTGAAATCCAGTATCTAATTGAACTTATTGGGAACCTTTGTTGTGAGCAGGTTGCTCGCTAACTATTTCTTGCATATTTTTCTGGAATGTGGCTGTTCTATTGATTATCAGTTACTGAGTCATCTGCCACAAATCTCTTCAGAGTGCCCACTCTGATTTTTTCTTTAGTGCCTGTTTCAGAGTAGGTGGGAAGTGAGACAAATTGTCATAATTTTTGATATTTCCTGGTTATTAGCCTTTAGCACTGAGATCCAAGAACCCACTGTTCTGGCTGTTGAACTGGAGACTGACTGTTCTTTAGTGAATATGTCCAGTTTTCCAAGACATAATGTGAGACAGCTGCAATAGTCAAATGCACTCAGATCTATATTTCTGCTTTCTTGTTTTTCAGTCTTGCCATGAATGTCTGAAATATTTTATTTCAATCTGGGCATGTTTAGTATTGCTTGTCCTTCCAAGACTATGTGCAAAGTTATTCAGTGCCTTCAGGCAAGAAGGTATGTTTTTTATCCATTGATCAGATATTTGGCAGGAGAAAAAATAATAGTATAGAAGAAGACTAAAATATTTCAGTATTTATTAGAATGGGGATTGTAAATTGAGGAAAGATATCTAGGGCCTCTAGTGGGTATTTCCCAAAGTATCACAGAGCAGGATCTTGAGTGGTGATCCTGTTACAAGATTTCTTGAGGCAAGAGAGATCAGATCATCTTGATTGGAAAAAGTAACCAGTAGTTTTACTGCCATTCTTCTAGTCATCAGAGATACTTGTTATATGAATAAATGCAAGAATGCAAAATACCACATTTTCTGCTATTGTTCTCTACAACAGTATTTTATGAAGATGCCAAGACACTTTGTGTTTGGGACATAAGAATGAAAAGAGAGAGCTTTAGCATTCACATTTAAAGAGGAGATTTCCCACATATCAACTGAACATCATCTTGTTTGCACCTGATGTGAGACTCAAGCAAGTAGAACTAAAATATACATTGGGTCAAAGCTGTAGTGCCACTTAGTCTGCAAGTGCTTTGCTGTAGGGAGGAACAGCTCACAAGTGAGCAGTGATGGACAGAGCAGGCTTATTTGTGTGACAGCAGTGGAGTGCAGCACAGTCATCATTCCAAGGAAAGGAAGTCATCTTTGACATCTTGAGTGGCTTCAAACTTCCAGCTGTCTTAGCTCTGTGTTAAAGAAAATGCATCATTGCTAGCTGAATTCAGGATGAAAAATGAGCAGCTAGATGGCTGAACAGAAATCTTCACTAGTTTCCAACTCTTAGTGAAGATTTTCAGTTTAGATGATGCAGTTTGTGTCACAGGTATGTGTAAGTCATAGCCTTATTCCAAAAGAGGAATCCTTGTCCACAAGCTGTCTTGTCTGTCCTGTGTATGCATGTTACCTGTGTGTCTTCAGTATACTTGATATAGCATGGTCTGTCATCTTGTTTTGTTTTTAGAAAAGGTGTGCTGGCTTACTGGCTGCTCTGTTAGAGGCACAGTGTTAGTGGCAAACTGACAAACTGCAGGTTTTGATAATGAGTCTTTACCAATTTAGAATAGACTTATAAATGATATAATGGCTTGGCTTGCAGTGGTAAAGTCCCAGGCAGATTTATATAAACTGGGCTTAAACCCATACTACTCTGTGATTTTTACATTGGTTTGACTAAATTGCTTGTAATATAGCATAGACTAACTAGCTTGAGTATTGGTGAAATCCATGCAAATGAGCAGGCAGTTTGAGTTCTTTGTCCTTTTCAGCACCACACCTCTAGGAGATCTTGAATGAGCATGTGGATGAGAGGATGGGTGTTTGTTGGGTGTTTGTTGAATATCTGATGTCATGCTGGTGTGGTATCCTTTGCAGGCTTTCCTTTGCAGAGCATTTTTTTAAATGCTTGCATACTCTGTATTCTCCCAGATCTGGATGCTGTCCTAATTCATATAAGAACCCAGGTGAGTGTCTTACATTGTTTTTACTTTAATTTGAGTTTTTCAGGACCATGGCTTCTTTTTTCACCACTATCAAAACTGTTCTTTTGGGTAGTTTTCACTTCTGTCTGCTGGCTGTTTTGTACTTCACCTTTCACAAAAATAATGTAGTTGTTATCCACTAGATTTCAGTATTTCACATGTCAAAGTAAAACTGTTTTCCTTCAAACATTATTTAAAATTCAGGCTTTCACTGAACCCATGCATATTCTCTGCTATTTTTGTCCCAAACTATGCAGTTCAAAAGATATTCCAATGTAGGCATGCAATCCACAAATTTTTTAGACTCTGTTGGAAAGGGAATATTCATGTCTGCTTTTTCCAAAGCAGAGGAGTTTGTAATTCAAATCAAGCACTTAGCAGACAAGTCTACATAAAAAAAAAAAAAAAGGTAGCATCTTTCTTAATATATGTAGAGGTTTGCAGGACGGACACCAGGCATCTTATTATCTCTGCAAAATCTTACAAGATAGAGTTTTGATAAATGTTTCTACAGAAGGCAATGGAATATTGATCTTTCAGGAAGAGAGCATGTATTTTGAGCATCACTTCTAGCTTTTACATTTTGTGTAGGCACAATACAGTGTAAAAGTAATTCTCTAATTTATAGGTTTGTCTACCAAAGCAGAGCGCCATCTGAAAATATTTTTTGCCTACTTACCTGTATTTGCTTGTTACTTGTCTTCAAAACTTTTCTGTTCTCCATTTAAAATTCTGAATTTAAAAATACTTGGGTGACAGGTCAACTTAGTGATGAGTTGTATTTCTTCTTAGGTTTTTGTTGGTTGTTTTTTCTTGCGCGTGATTGTTTGATGACTACAATGGTAAAAATTCCTTGCAGGGTCCTAAGTGACATTAGAATTTATACCCTTGAAAATACCAATATGAAAAAGTTTTTTGGGGAAGAAAAAGATTTATATATTTACGTAAGATTTATGTGTTTACTTCTCTAAAGCAGTTTTGACTTCTCAGAAATCCAAGATAATATGCATTGGAGACTTAGGAAAAGTTTAGTGGGTATTTTCTGATACTTATGGACTAAAGCCACCCATGTTACACTCTGAATTATGCATTCAGTGTCAGAATTTGATCACTATCAGAGACTGGCTGTAGGTGGTACTGTCTGTATTTCACAGTGTGGAAGCTGCTATGACACTATTTGTCTGGTGCAGAATTTACTTTGGACTTTGGGTTTAAAATTATTTTTTCATTTAATTCAAAACTAAGTTTAATAGTCATTTCTTGGGGAGCAAGACTAGGACACATATTCTTGATTCTTATTTGTAAGGAAAATAATTTAGACTGTGCTTAGGTATAGAGCTAATTGTGTGTATGCTGTTATCTTCCTGAATTTGCAGGGAGCCTAAACCATTATCTCAGTAATGAGAAATTTGAAAAAATATCAGGATTGTTGGTTTTAATCCAGCACTTTTGTGTCTACTTGCAACTGACATTAACAAAACTCCCCGACTAGTGTGCTACCCTGAGTTCTGAATTGTCTGCTGCATTCCTGATATAGCTGGAAGTTGCAACTTCCACTTACTTGTGTGAAAGAAATTTCCTGGCTGCTCCTGTAAGGTAGTTTGGTATCACCGCATAAATGTGGGATACACCAAGGAGAAGCAATAGGAAGCAGCATGCAGTAATAAATTGCTTATGAATAATGATGCTTTTTAAAATATAATTGAAGCTGCTTTTGAGTTTGCAAACTGTCTTACTTGTGTACTAAAAATCGAAATAGACTGTGACACTTCTATAGTTTTTTAGGGTTTTTTTCTGTGAAGACCTATGGGTTTGGGTCTTCAATTACACTTACAACGCTCTTTCTGTGCCAGAATGTGAAAGGGGTGGGGTGGCTGGAGGGAGAAGAGGATGCAGCACAGAAGTGCATTTCTTCTGTTTTTAAGAAGAATGCATAGGAAAAGGTTTAGTTAGTGTTTAAACACTGGCAAAAGGACTACAGGGATAGCAGACAAGATATGACAGGTCACCATAGTAATTAGTATCACCCAATGAGAAAGGTCATGCTTCCTGGTTTAGGACAATACTTGAAAAAGGAGAAGGGTTTAAAAAGATTTCTATAATTCAATTTGGGCGGGAAGGGGGAGAAGGTCAAACCAATAACTTAATATGTGGGGGTGTGTGTCCAAAAGCAACAAGGAAGACTTCACTAGTTCAGTAGTTATTGAAATGTTGGTGGTTGTGGGGATTCCCTGAGAGGAAGATTTTTGTCTTGTTTCTGAGTTGCCGCCCAGATTTTGTTGGTGAATTATGTTAGGTGTTCATGTATTATTAAGGTGGGCGCAAGCAAAGTGGAGTTAGAACTCATTTCAAAACAGTAACTCCTTTAGGTTTGTACACTTTAATTCTTTTATCTCCTTGCATGGTGTGACAGTGAATGAGGGTGTGTGTGTGTAAAGGAACTTGTCTTAGCAATGGACTCTTTCAGAGACCATGTATGGGTAAAGCAGTTCAGCTGGTTCAGCTCCTGCTCCTCCCTCTCGGGGAGCTGAGCAGAATCTCTTCTGCTGAAAGGGTTGTTCCACTTTCTGCTTTCTATATTTGTCCAGCAGAGCACACTGGCTCACCAGGCAGTGTAGCTGGCCTGGTGGGCATTTGCTGAGCAGAATTGAGAGCCAGGGCTTATAGTCTCTGTTATGTCCATCTGTCTGTCTCCGCGTCTCTGGGTACAGCTGGTGTTCCAAGTGAAAGGCGATCTGTTTGCGGTTGTTGTCTTTTTTGTAAACTGCAGTCCATCCAAATTTGGGAGACTAGGGACTGGAAATGGAGGAGTTGTCTTGCAGGGGCAAATTGTGGATGGCAGTAGCATCAGAAAGACATAGATTTAACCTCCAAAAGAGCTGCTGTCTTCTGGGATGAGGATTTTAATCTCCCTTCCTGCTTTGGGGAGTGATTAGCCAAGGCCTGTATCCTTCCATAAAAGGTCTGTTGTCACTGTCTGCCTTGAAGATTAATGAAAGCTAGATCCTGTCCTGGAGGATCCGAGTGCTGTGTTTGCTTGTTATGGGCAATGGGGATTAATGAGGAGCTAGACCCTGGCCTGCCTAGTTTGGAATCAGGAGTTGGTGTTCACGGATGGGGCTTGTAAGAAATACCTTGTTAGGAAGGGCTGGAAACTTGCAACTAAGACTTCCCCGACTGTGTGCTTGCATAAACTTTGTATTAAGGTGCTGCACACATTGGGATTACTATTCACAATTGCTTTATTTAAATAGTAGATCAGTTGAATAAGTAGTACAGAATGTCTGTTAGCTGCTACGCTGTAGTAAACTGTTGATATGATCTTCGAGTAGCAGAAAGATGCTCAAAATACTGGCAGCAATTTAATACAACATTAACTGTGGCAATATTTTTTTGAGAGGGAGAAAGAGGGCAATTGTTTGTAGGATACTTATTCTAAATTTCAATAAATACTGTCCCCTTAAAAATTCTACTGTCTGTTGAATATCTTTGCAAAAAGGCATCAGCCTTTTGTTTCTGGAATTTGAGAGAGGAAAACGTTATTTCAGTTGTGAAATTGATTTTAGCAAGAGTCTGCCTTTTTTTCTTGAGGACCATGTTCCATAAACTCAGTTTGAATTATTTTTCTTTGCTGCCACTGCAGTGTTCAATGTATTTCCTCCTGAGAAAGCTGTGTGTCTCTTGTATTTGCAAGAAGGACATTTTGGAGGCGAATCGGTGGATCTCAGCTGCCTGGCACTGTCTGGATTGTACTGATGTCTGCAGGCAGGGACTTGTCATTGATGTATGACAGAGGGTCAGCTTCTTGAACTGATTGAACTCAAGCAACTTAGTTATGTGGCTGTTTTCTGATCATTCTTTGTTTAATGGAGACACACTGCAGTAGTTTTTTCCCTCTTCATGTGGAAATTCTACAGAATCTGTTGCAAATATGTAGCCTGTGGGATGTTAAACTTGTTACCTTAAGTATCTTGGTATTTTGCCTAATCCTGGCATCCTCTGCTAAAATTAGATCCTCTGCCTGCAGACCTGTCTTCCCACTTTTCCACTTGGGTCCTTTGCCCGCAGACCTGTCTTCCCACTTTTCCACTTGGGTCCTTTGCCCGCAGACCTGTCTTCCCACTTTTCCACTTGCTGACTCCCTAGCTGACAGCATTTCATTTATGAGTTACCAGTTAAAAGCAACTCTTGGTACTGTTTGAGGCAATGATTGGAGTTCTATGATTCCTCAGCTTTCAAGTGTTTTCTTGTACCATACTCACCTTTTCCTTCAAGTAGTTTTGGAGCAGGAATATAGTTAGGCAGTTTCAAAGGCCTCTTGGAAGTAAATTATTGCATGTTTAAAAATACTCTGTGTCTGTTCTGTGAAAGATGCCATGATAAATGAATAGAACTCTGAATAAATAATAAATATATGTGTACCAAAGGCATTTGAGTAGTAGAAGAGCACTGGGGAATTCCAATCATGCCATTTTTTTTGAAATCTTCCTAAAGCCAATATATGAGAAAGTGACATTGTTCAGAGCTAAGCCAAACTGTTAAGACAGGAAATCTTGTTTGCCATATGTGCTTGTTTGCCATTTTGTATTTAAGGGAGAATACCCAATAATCCATTGTATCTTGACTGTTACCATGTCTGCATAAAAGCTTTAATCAGGGTACAAGATAAATGAAAAATTAACTTTTGTCTAATGTCCTTCGAAGCTACTGAAATTCCACAGGAAGTCATAATTTATTTTCTTCTTGCCCTACTGCCTTTTTTTTTTTTTTTTAACAAAAGTAAGCCCTTTTTAAAAATACTATATTTACGCAGTTAAATAATAAAGTTAGGTTAAGGGTGGACATACAGGAAGATTACAGGAATTTTGAAATAAGTCCAGTATGCATTTCAAGCTGATGAAACTTAAAACTGCTGTTGTGAAGTATTTAAACTCCAGGAAGAGTAAATGAAAATTGGAAAACATTTACTTGTGATTTTAAAAAGTTATAACATATTGTTTAATCAAGAATATGGAGTGACATGTGTCTAATATGTGAGGCAGTCCACTGACAAAGAATTGGAACAATGAAGATGATTATATGGAAGGACATGTATATAGTTCTTACAAACATAGTGTTTGTAGAAGCAGCAAAAGCCTTGTTTATCACTTAAGGCCTTTAAAAAAGATCAATCAGTAGAGATTTAATTGTGTCAAATTCAGTACCTAAATCTGATGATCTAGTTCCTGAATAATTTAAATAAGCATCTGCCAGTATTGCTCTGAAAGAGGCTTGTGTCATTTTTGATGTGTTTTTCCTTTTCTTTGTGCTACCAAGAGCATCTGTGCAGTTGTGCAGTGAATTGAATCTAGGAGCATGTCTGGGTTAAAACTATTATTTTCCTGTTGTTGGTAGTGGACAAGATCACACCTTGATCATTTCCTCTCTCAGGCTTTTTACACAGAGGTGGGAATGAACAGCTGGTGAGGAAAGAGTTGTGCATTTGGCATATTTGGCAATAGCACCAGCTTAAACTGGATCTGTAGCAGGAGTATCTCAATCTATTCCTTTGTATTTCTTCCCCATTTCTATTGAATGTTTATGGAGAGCTCATATCCAGTCTTGTGAGGTGTATAACCTGAAAATATTAAGTGAGAGTTGTTTGCCTGTGTTGTCTGCTGGGGCATATAAAATTTGGTTCTAGACAGGGAAATCCTAAATGTTGTCTTAACATACTTAATGAATGCAGGATTTGGTACGCACTATGTTTGATGCTGCTCTACAGAAAGCCTGCTGTTCATTTGAGAAGAAATTGGTGAGCTTTTCTGACAGAAGGACAGAGAGAAAATTATGTGCTACATAGACTGTCACACGTAAATTTTTGGAAGTATAAGGTACCTCCAGAATCTAGGCATGAGAAAGATATTTATTGTATGTCCCTTCTGCATGCTTATGCAGCCAAAGCTGTATTCAAGTACTTGTTTCTGGCATAAAGTTTATAGTCTCTTCCTGCTAGCACTGGAAAACTGATAGCAGATGTCATACTGTGCCTTGCAGTAAAAGTGATGGAAATTAATTGATGGATGAGTGTGTAAGTGAAGAACATCTGAAAATACATGCATAAGACTTCAAGCAAGTACTGAACCTCTAGCTTTTGGCAAAGTACATTGACACTCTTGATCCTTCTCCACCCATCCAACTAAAATCTGAGATCAAGTTATGGATCCAGCCTTGTACAGCAGGGAGAGTTTGTGAGGCCTTGGGGAGAGAGAGGAGCAAGCAGAGCTTGCTGTGCTGACACAGGAATCAGTGTGCATCAAGCACTGGTGATGAGCAGCCTTGAGAGGGTGTGTCAGGGTCACAAATGGACCATGAGAGTAGTCTGGAGTAAAAGGCTGCTGATACCAGTAGGAAAGGCATTCTATTAGTTGTATTCACATTTTTAATGAGGAATAAAAACATCTTTGGACAGAGGAAAGTTCATCTGAAGTGTGGTGTTACATTTGTGATTGGTAGTCCCACAGAAATGATGCTTCATGGCATGTATTCATGTGTTTTCAGTAGATTGTAAGTGAATGCACTTTTTTAAAAATAAGTTTTAAGGTATTATTTACAGTTGTATGTTTCAGATACTATATAAAGATACTGAAGAGGGGAGTAAATGTTGTACAAAAGAAATCGAAATATATACAAATTATTTTACAAATTAGAAACCTTCAGAGATCTGGACTAGAAGCATAGTAAGAACTGCTTTGCAGTGAAATGGTTATATTTTATTAAATTTGTGTTTTAGAGCAAGAGTGGAACATTCCTAAGTTGATGTTCTCAAAGCAATGCCAGCATTTGCCTCTGATGGAGAAAAAGAAATAGTATTAAATATTTTTTAAAGCTTCAGCTCTATGCACCAGTAATACTTAAATCTCTTCAAGTATTAATGAAGATTATTTGCTGTTAAAAGTGATTTGAATCAGTATTCATTGCTTATAATAGAGCAGTAACTCCAATTCTTTGCAGATGTAAATGAGTGTAATTCGTATCCGTTTACTTCTGCAAAGGATTTACCTGTGTGCCCGTTACAAAATAAAAATAAAAATAATTGAGCATATTTTTACTCTTTGGTTTGCAGGCGTGGCAATGGCAGATTCTGCACGGTAGAGTTCATGGCAAGTATTTGTCTAATATAAGCCAAGCAAGACACATACAAGGCTCAGGTAAATCAGTCTTTCTTAGTTGTGTTTCTTTGAAATAGAATATAAATGTTTATGCTTCAACATTTTGCAAATACAGAATTTCAGACCTACTCAGAATTTTGTATGCAGTTCAATTCTGATATTTCAAAATTGGGACACCTCAAAATTAGTTTCCTTCTGAAGCTAGCAGGAGATGCTGGAAACAGCCATGTACACTGTGTCCTCCTTTGGCATTTTAGGTGTGGCAATACAGAATAGTGATTGCATTTGAGGGTATTTGTGGGAGATCTGCAATACATCTTTATTCTCTGTTTGCTTTTGAATTTATTCCCTTTTGTACAATCATAAAAAAAGGTGTGTAAGGATCTTGAATTTTTAACACACAGGCTATGCAAGCTGTATCTATCTAAACATTGCACAGGGATGGTTTCCCTGTCGAGATTTTTTTTTATCTTGCCTTTAAAGATAGGCAAGTAGAAAGTGTTAGTGTTTGAATCTTGTGGCTGAGATGGATGAGGTTGTTAAATTTCAGCTAAAGCTCCTCTGCTTCTAGGAGTATGCTTAGTGGTTAAACTGAGAATATTGTTTGTGTTCACTAAAACTCAATCTTTTACCCAAAAGATGACCAAACTCTGCTGTATGTGATAGGTCTTCCTGTGGCATGTAGAGTCTCCATAAAGCAAAACATGAATGCATGCTTTCTGACCTTCATTCAAAAAGTAAATGAAATGTTGCTTTAGTTTGTACCTTCTCTATTTGCAACTCCTGGTATATTTTGAGAGTCCCTTAATACCATAATCTGGAGAGAGATAGTAAACTAAATCTTTTGTTGGTGAGATTATTTGGATTTTATTAACGGACTTATGTTTTGTGGAAACTTTTCAGATAAATCAGTATGTCTGCTTCTCTGGTAAGGTTTTTATATGGTAGGAGTTTCCCCTTGCTCTCTCTGTTGTGTTGTTGCCTCGTTAGCAAGAGTTGCTACAGAGTGACATTTCTGTGGGTTGTGGCCTGAGCTGTTCAGTGATTGAAACTTCCTCTGGTTTGCGTAGGACTCTCGGTTCATAATCCCTGTAGTGTACTTGCTCCGTCGCTCTCTGATGCATCCTTATCTCCCTCCTGTACTTCTTCCAAAGAAATAGTTCTTTGTATATTTTCAAATTTTCACTATTAGTCACATGGGTTCCTAAAAGCATGTAAATCTGCAGTGAGTCCAGACTGAACACTGATTTATGTGAGAGACTGTTGACGCCAGGATGAATCTGAGGCTGACCTATGTGGTCTGTTTGATCTGTTGGCCTCTTTAATTGCCAATGCTAACCTTAACAATGCCATAAACATTAGTTCCTGGAAAGTGTAATGAGAAATCAGAACTGGTCTAGACAAAGTGCTGACTATGACAGTAATTTCATTGATCAGAATCCATTAAATGATCTGATATTCTCTTAGATGGTCCCGGGTGCTGGTGAGACAGAAGTTTTACTACTTAGTAGAAAAGCAGTATTACTTTATTTATTAGATTTATTGGGCTCATATCCATTGTCTGGTACTTAGTGGATACAGCCACTTGTTTTCATTACAAGCTGCAGTTCTATTTATATTATATTGCATATCGAAAGTTGCAAGTGTTCATCAGTGAGAGTATATTTTATCACTTTTAGATCTGGCAGGCCGTTAAATCTAAGCATTAAAACTTCGTTTCTCTACGTGGAGTACTCGGGTAGTGTCAGTAGTTCCTCCCAGCTTTATGCAGTAGTTGAAAGTGACAACTGTACTCAGCTGCAGCACCTTAGTCAGAGAACAACTTCAGGAGAATTATTATAAAAGCTATGATGAACGATCTGACTTTACCCCATTAATTGTTTTGCTGACTGCACTAAGCACACTCATGCAGCTATGAAAACAGTTGGCCATCAGCATCAAATGCTGGCTGCGGAGAACCTACTTTGCACAAGAGCTTTCTGCCCCATCAGTTAATTACAGAAGTGACCATGCTGCACACATGGCTAGCAGCATCCAGCTCTATGTATGTATAAACGTTATTCTGAGGGATCCAAGACCCAGTTTTTCCTGAGAAGAAACATGGTTGACAGATTCTTTGACCTTTGGGCCAGGTTTGTCCTATGTATAAACCTGGATTAATTATTCAGTGTATTTATGTTCAGCATGCAATTAAATAAACCGTACTAAAACAATTTGTGATTTAAGAGCACTCTCCCAGGCTTTCTACAGGTGGTTGTCAGATTTGCTGCTTGGTTTTTGAAGTTTTTATTGTCTTGGATTTTGCCTTTGATTCAGTGAAGTGTATTTTTTCCCAAAGGTATCCAAGAATTATGGGTTCCTCTGGCTATGTTAGCTGCACTTTTGGTTTCTTTGAAGTTTTTAAATTAATTCACTGGAGTGTTACATGTGCAAAGTGAAGATTTTCTTTTTAACATCAAAAAGTTGTTTATATAGATATTCTTAAGCGTTCATTTTATCTCAAAGCTGATTATCAAAGGAATATAACTTAGCATATAAGCGAAAAAGTTGTTACCTGTTGTTTTGAAGACATTAGAAGTTAGGCATGAAGAAGGTCTGTTAGTAGGGATCTAAGACCATTTTTTTTTGTCCATAAACAAATACTTTGTAATTAAACTACAGAGAAGTAGAGGAATCTGGCTGAGGTGGAACAACTATCTTAAGGTAACATTTGCCTCAGTCACGAATTGGAGTTTCATAATCCAGAATGTTCTGAAACAGAACCAAAATAAATATGTGAAGTGTTCTCTGAACAATAGTCAGTTTTGAGTAATATTCTAGGAAATAAAAATTCGTAATTTTGAAAATACACATTTCAGATAACTGCTTTATGTTTGTCAGGATTCCTGGTTTGGGTTAGAAGAATTGAAATTTCTCAAGAGATTTCCCTTTGAAAAAGAGGGCATAAATACATGCGATAAATGACCAAGCATATTACATGGCAAGTTAGAAGAGGATGTGGCTCACTTATTCTCACTTACTAAAAAAAAATATAGAACAAAGGTTAAGTAGGGGCCTGCAAAGCAGTCAAAATGTGGGACTTCAGATAGCCTTGTATAATGCTGCTTGCTGGTGGATGCAGTTTTTAGTTTGGTAACAATAGATAAGTAAATAGATTTGGATTTTCTGTAAAATACTGCTAGACTGACATGAGTGTAGTTCTGCAAAATAACCCAGGAGGAGGCAGAGAAGAAATTATTTGAGTTGGGGAAAAAAGTCAAGAAACCTCACAAATAAAAAAGTCCCAAGTTTGTTTTTAAATGCAGACTAGTTTGTGTTGAGAGTCTGTTACTGAGTTTGCAAAAAGAGAACTCTGAACCATGAAGTAGCATCCCCTAGATATGAGTTGCTAGTACAGAAAATCTGTATGGTTCCTGGCTGATGATTTGCTTAAGATGTAGAAATAACTTTTTTTCCTTGTGTTGTTCAATTCTGTGTTCCCTAATTCAGTGCTTTTTGAGACATTTCCATTTATGCAGTCGTGCATTAGAGTTCCCCTCTGCAGGCTCATGGTCATCTGTTAGTGCTGCAGCTGTCAAAATAACGCCATATAGGAGTTCAGGATTGTGGCTACTGCTGTTGGTAGCTGCTTCTGTTGTGACAGCCAAAAGGCCAGATAGGTGGCATTAGTCCACTGAGCATTGCTAGGAAGCTCTAAGACTTCCGTTTTCAGCCATGTTGTGTTTGCAGTCCATTTTTGTGCACCCTTTCATTTACCTTGTATATTTGAAATATGCAGCTTCTGTTTTGATGCTATTGAGGTTTATTACCACTTCATTATGACTTCTATTATTAGAAATACGCTCATTTTCCCAGTCCTCAGTGCTTTATCAGGTAGAGTTCACATAATGCTTGTTATTGTCTGGTGTTAACTCTGAATTCCTCAATGTGTGTTTTTCCTTATCTTTTAGAGTGAAGACTGGAACAGCTGGACAGAGGTGTGTAGCTGCAGGTATGAGCTAACTAAAGTTTATATCCCTCAGTTGTGTAGTAGAGCTTCCTTATAAAGGTTTAGAGAGATGTTGTTTTTACATTCAGTGATGAAAGCAGTCATTTTCCACTGCAGTGAGCAGTGCTCCCTGAACCTTAAACTCTGTAGCTTCCTGCCTTTGTATTGCCAAAGGGGGTTGGGAGTGTTAACAGTTCAGGACTGTGAGTACCGAGTCAATAGGTGTCTTTAACTCCATCTGTAATTTAATGATTTTAGAAACATAACTGCAAAGTAGAAATGCATGTCTTCATAGTAATTTCTTCACCAGAACAAATCTGCAGTATTCTGTAGTACATGAAACCCTAAAGGTGAGTATTAGTGGAACAATTTCTGGGCTGAGACAAATTTGATTATATGCAGTAGAACAGGAACAGAGTCCAGTATGAAAATGATTGGAGGCAAATGTGAGGATCTTCTGGCACAATTTTCTTTGTTCTAGAAGTCTAGTAAGGGTGTAGTTTCAGGTGGCAGCTGAGACAATCGCCCCTTCTCACTTTCCAGCTGAGTGCTGTGTCCTTTGGTTATGTTTGGTTCTCATGGTAGCTCGCATTATAGATGGAGTCAGCTTGACAACCTAGTAAAAAGCTCCTCTTGTGATCTAGCTGTTTCTCTGGTTTAGGAAGTTGGAATGATTTAGTGTGTGGTCAGAGTACAAAAGAACATATCAGACTGTTTGTACTGTGCACCCCAAGAGTGTCAGTTCACTTCTGAGACAATTGACCTGTAACTGCTGTGTTAAGTAACACTATCAGTATCACCACAAGCAAAGTTTGGTGATTTTTCTTATTACAGTGAATTACCTCTGATGGCAGAAATATTTAAGGTGTGTTTTTGTCTGTAGACAACCAGGGAGAATTGAGATTTTATATTGTCTTGAGGAAAGAGTTGTTTTCTGCTATGGACAGACATTTGCTACAGTTTTCATAAATACATTGGGAAGAATTTAGTTATGTCTATATCGGAAAGAAAAACAAATTTGTCTTTAAAGTGCAGGATATCCTGTCTCTCCATATGTTACTTATCAGGGTAGAAAGATCTAAAGTTGGTTTAAGAAATCCAGGAACACCTTCATTTTCAAGTAATTTTTTAGAGAATTGGTGATTGACCCCTGTGTTTGGAAATACCAGTTTGAGGACATTTGTCTCCAGGCGTTTTGTGGGTTGCAAAACACTCAACTTTTTTGTAATGACTGGTGTATTTAGCACTTCTTGCTCCTTTGCTGTCCATTTGGACCATACAGAAGATTGGAAAGAGACAGTACTGATCATTATGTTTCTGGCTTTTTTTCTGAAGAATTTGCATCTTTTGAGACAGACTAAACTGATTAGACCTCGTTTTTCAAACTCATGGGATTCTCCAATTGCAAAACCCAGGCCTAGAATCAATATATGTGGATTACTTAAGCAACAAAACAATCATATATTTAAATAGCAAGATAATCACCAAGTTTCTGGTTGATGAAAATAAGTTGCTTCGATTGGTGCAAGATCTGTGGTTTCTCATCTCAAGAGCAAAGGAAAGTTGAATTCATCTGCCTAAATGTGAATGAGAAAGATGTCCAAATGGAAGACTCCAAATGGAGTCTTTTCTTGAACATCTAATAATGGTATATAAAATTGTTTGTATACGTCCCAATATTAAATGCCTCATTGTGATTAACACTGCAGAGATGTATCAGAATAAAATTGATGGCATTCTGCTTCTTGTCTAGTACAGAGAACAAAAATGAGGGGGAGTCAGCTTTGCTTTGAGATAAGGAGTCAATCCTACCTCTGTATTGACTCTTGTCATATACACATTTGCCATACTGAAACATATCTGTGTTCAAATAAAATTTCTGCATAAGAGATATGAGCCCCTTCCAAAATGTAAGTCTTTGGCATGGAGATAAAAATGGGCATTAAAAGATGGTAGATTGTTACCTTCAGAGTCTTCTCCAACCTAAAAGATTCCATGACTAGAGTCTAGACAGAGACTAGACTTTTGGCATGATGCCATGTCAGAGTTCGACCATTAACCTGACATTCCCAAGTCTTTCACTAAACCTGTCCCTAAGCACCACATCTACACATTTTTCAAGTACCTCCAGGGCTGGAGATTTTAATGCTTCTCTGGGCAGTCTGTTCAAATGCTCAACAACCCTATCAGTGGAGAAATTCTTCCTAATGCCCAATCTGAACTTCTTTTGGTGTAACTTGTCTGATCTTGCTGCTTGGGATAAAAGACTGACCCCCACCTGAGTACACAATCCTTTTAGTTAGTTGTAAAGAGAATAAAGTCTCCCTTCATCCTCCTTTTCTCCAGGCTGATCAACCCCCCCACTCTTTCAAGTTCCCCGTGTAAGACTTGTGCTCCAGACCCTTCACCAGCTCCATTGCCCTTCTCAGAATGTGCCCCAGCCCCTCAGTGTCCTTCTTGTAGTGAGGGACCCAAAACCATTCACAGCACTTCAGGTGTGGCCTCAGCAGTGCCAAGTACAAGGGGACAATCACTGCCCTGGTCCTGCTGGCCACACTATTGCTGATGCAGGCCAGGATGCCACCAGCCTTCTTGGCCACCTGGGCACTGCTGGCTCATGTTCAGCTGCTGTCAACCAACCTTCCTAGGTCCTACTCTGCTGTGCAGCTTTCCAGCCCTGCTTCCCCCAGCCTGTAGCACTACATGGGGTTGTTGTGCCCCAGGTGCAGGGCCTGGCACTGGGCCTTGTTGAGCTGCGCACTGCTGGCCTCGGTCCTGGATCCAGCCTACCTGATCTCTCACCAGAGCTTTCCTATCCTCCGGCAGATCAACACTCCCACACAGCTTGGTGCGATTTGTGAACTGAGGGTACACTCAATGCCCTTATCCAGGTTGTTGATAAAGACATTAAACAGGACTGGCCCCACTGCTGAGCCCTGGGGATCACCACTGGTGATCAGCCATCAGCTGGATGTAGCTGCAGTCACCACCACTCTCTGGGCCCAGCAATCCCGCCAGCTTTTACCCAGCAAAGAGTACACCCATTCACATCATGAAAAGTCACCTTATCCAGGAGGATGCTGTGGGAAACTGAGTCAAAGGCTTTATTGAAGTTCAGGTAGACAACACCAAAAGCCTTTCCCTTATCCACTCAGCAGGTCACCTTGACATAGGAGATAGGTTGGTCAGGCAGGACCTGCCTTTTCAGAAACCCCTGCTGGCTGGGCCTGATCTCCTGCTTGTTCTGTGCGTGTTGTGTAATGGCACTCAGGATGATGAGCTCCATGACCTTCCCCATCCCAGAGGTCAGGCTCACAGGCCTGTGGTTCCCCAGATCCTCCTTTCAACCCTTCATGGTAAATGGAGCATAACATTTGCCAACTTTCTTCAGGTAACATGCAACAAAAAGCTTTCCTTTGGATAAAATGAAATGAGAGAGAAATAGTGAATTTTTGTAGTATAGTATTAACTGATTCTTGTTCATATCTGGTACTATTCATAAAAACAATTTGAGATTAAAGACTCCTCAGAATTGATTGTCCAATTGATCTGATGGCTGCAAAGGACAGTGAAACTTGAGACTTGTTGCTTTTAGTCCAAAAGGTCTCTTGAAACTCAGAAGAAGAAAAAAAAGACAATCAGAAAAATATTTCAATGTGTCTAAATGCCATTCTAAGACATTTCAGTGGAGAATAATAATTCATGGTTTGTTCCTTTGAATTAACATTTTGCATTTCTCAAGTAAAAAAAAAGTGATTCTGGCCAGTTCTTTAAGGCTTTAGTTTACATGTGCACAAGATGTGTTGTTTGCCATAAATTTAAAAGCGTTTTTTGATTCAGAGGGTCTCCTCCTGCAGGTTAATATAAACAATATAAAAATATAACAGTCTTTGTGCATGGTATTGTCTTGGTATTGTATACCTGGTTCTGTTATTCCCCCTGGGTCCAATATGCAACCACATAGTCTTCTCTGTGTAAATGTAGTTGCTCTGCCTGCTGTAATGTTTTATGGCATGTTTGGCTTGAGGACAAGCAGACTGTTGAGAGCTTTCCAAGAATGACTGGATTTCCAGGTCCTTACTAGAGGAATAACTTTTAGCTCTGTTTCAGTGTCAGAAGACTGTCTTAAACATGGAGATGAGTCCTTAAAAATCTGGCAAATTTTGTAGAGACGGCAAACCTGTTTTTTCCAGTGTATCTTTTTGACTAAGTACAGAGCTACAGATTCATGTCATACAGGAAATGACAGGAAAATACAGAAATACATGAAACCAAATTTATAGGTACTGTGTTTGTGTTGACAAGGTAAAAAAAGTTGAAACAAAGTTTTCTGTTCCATAGAATTGCTTGTAGGATTGTTTCTTGCACAAAAAGATGGCCAGAAGTTTACTTTCAGCTATTTCCATCTTTAAAAAAAAAAAACAAAAAACCAACACACAACCAAACTCAGAGGCAGCATTTAGGAGAGAGAAAGATGGCAAAGACACTCTCAAGTGGAATCTGTACCTTGCCTTCAGCACAAGATCGCTTGTAGGCATTACATTCTTCTTGTCTTCCAGTAAAGATTTGAGCATGGAAGTGCAAGTGTGATCTGTCCTCTGTATTTCTGTGTCTCAGGGTCTGAATTCAGTCAATAAACAAAAACAAAGGAGGGTGCAAGAGGAAAACTTGAACCTTGCCACTGCCTAAACTGTTTCATCCTGTCCCCTGTCCTTCCACAAGGTAGAAATGTGAGTCCTCTCATCTTAAACTCATTTCCTGCTTTGTCTCCTGTGTCATACAGCTGTCTTCATTTCCTCTTACTATTGTTGTGACCAAGCCACTTTTCCTACTTTCTCAAGAAGTTTTTTCTGCCTGCAGTGCCAAAGTGTCTACAGGTCTTTTAAATCTCTCTTATGTATTTAAGGTGTCCATAGTTTTTTGTCTCTTGCAAAGTACAAGTATTTTTATGTTCTAGCAATGTGATTATAAAAATTCAAAATGCTTCTCAAAATCAAACTACC